GGTTGGGTCTCTTATGATGCGAGACAGAGAGACAGAGAACAGTGGGCAATGTTGGAACATGAGTCCACCCTCAACTCTAGAAAAAAGGCAAGCTCGTCTGTCAGGCGGAAGGAATGAGGGCGGCGGAGGCGGAAAGAGAGCCTCTGCCATGGCAGCGACAATTCAGCGACTAGGATTGCCCGCGGATAAGTTGGCAAGTGGACGACGAAAGGTGAGACGACATGTAAGTTTGCGAAGCAAGGGGAGAATTGCTCTGAAGCAGGTCAAGGTTGTCCTTATAATTAAAAGAAGCCTAAGGCGCCCGCCGCACTGGCGCAGCCGGGAGCGGGTGGTGACAATCGCAGCGCTGGCGGAAAGACCGGTCGCAAAGGTAGGAACAAGCGATCCGAGAGCAGAAGCCCGAGAGAAAAAGACCGGCCTCGCTCGTCAACACCATCGAACAAGTTCGGCAACTCGAACGCGCGCAGTCGCGGACGAGGGCTCCGTCGGAAGAATCATAAGAACGACGGAGCAAGATGGCGTGCTATGCATGGTCACGTGATCCTTTGAAACTGCAAGGGCACTCAGGATGGCGGCTATAGGCAGCACAGAGGCTTGACCGATGCAGAAAATATCAAACGTGATAAGTTTGAAGCGGCACAGCTTAAGGCTGGCAAGTCTCTAGGATATCAAAGAACTGCTCGGCGAGCTGATTCAGCGGCAGCGAATGCCGCAGAAGCGACTCCAGCTAATGCCCCAAGAGGCAGGGATTCGAGCAAAGGTCGCGGGAAAAACCGAGGCAAGGGCAAAGGAAAAGGGAAAGACAAACCATGTGAGACATCCACAGAGACAGGATCTTGCTCGCGGGGCAAAGATTGTTGGCATGCAAAGAACACGCTGAATCATCCGTGACGATGGCTTAGCACTGACCTGCTCTGGGCCAGTGCTAGAGAGCTCATGTCATATATTTCCCTTACCTTGCTGACGCTCGTTAACTTTTTGAGCGCTTGGTCACGGCGATCCAACTGGCCAAATAAACGCGGGGGGGCGGAGTATAGTCTCGCTGGCACAGCCAGTCGAGTCATCGTTGCCTGCCCTGCACCATTGGCTAAGACCCCGCGTGATCTACGCATTGCTTCAGGGGGGCGACCCACCGAGGCCGACTTCGACAATGCATGTTCTTTTAATTATATCAAGCGTTCACAGGAAGCTGTTCCCGCTTCTGATATTCAACAGAAACGCGGAGAGAAACTAACTAAACTTGTCGCTATCCCTGTTCAAAGGCACCCTCTTCCTGGAGAGGCCATCATATCTGTTTGTGACGAACCTCCCGGGAATAGCTGCATCAGAACTGCGACGGCGAAAAGATGCGGATGTAGTGTGAAGTTCCACCCATCCAGCCGCGAACCGACTGTTACTCGGAGGAAGACGCGCCGCCGCAGCCCAAGGGAGCTGCCTTCGAGCATTGCGGACAGGTGGGGATTCCCAAAGGAAGAGCACAAACTGATGCAAGCTGAATGGAAAACAACATCGAGAGATGCGCAGCTCAGAGCATCTGATTTGGCCGAAGAAGTTAGGCATCTTTGGCTAGCGTCCGAAGAAAATGGACGCGCCACCCAGCGCGGCACAGCCGCTGCCAGGCGTGGAAAGAAATTGCTTGTGCACCTCGGCACGCTTAGGTTCATAGTCGATACGGGCTGTGGATATAATCTCATCGCAGAGAGATTCATTCGCGCTGCAGGTGCAATGGGTATGATCCAACATTTGGGCGAATCGATCACCTTGAACACTGCCGGCGGTTCCTCACGGGCCCTCGGATCAGTTTGCGTCGCGTGCCCGAATTTCAGGAGTGGAAGTTTCGATGCATTAGTCATGCCGGACACACCGGCTGTCATTTCGGTAGGAGAGCGGTGCATGGATCACGGCTTTAGCTTCGTTTGGCCAGCAGGTCAACGACCCTACTTACTTCTGCCCAACGGTCGCAGAAGATACTTGATTGGTGAGGGCAAGATACCATACTTGACCTTATCTGGCAGAGAGGCATCGGGTCAGTGGATGCGCGCGGTTGCCGCCGGACAGCCTGTTACTCCCGAGCGGCGGTGTTGCGTGACGTCAGGCGCCAAGACATTTCTGGACGATGTGGAATCTACGGGAGGTCCTCCGCCCCGCTCCATTCAGAGTCGCGTAACGTAACGTTAGACTTGCATACGCATGAGATGATTGGTTACCATGGCTACGCAGATGGAAGGCCGACATCGACCGAGTACACGTTTCCGTCTGTCACAGACCACAGACTCTGTGGATACAATCACTTATTTCTACCATTTGCCTTATGCAGCTCGCGAGCGCGGTTGGGATATGACACAAGCGGGCATCATGAGTTTTGTAAGCTCCTCGTTCACTTCCAATCACGATGCAGTTGTTGGCTGTAAGATGCCAATCCACGGCACGGCTGGCGGGTGTGCGATCAGTTCTGCGAGCCCCTGCTGTTATGGGGTCTCTGGAGGCATGCCCTGCGGCACAGAGCGCGAGCTGACTGACATAATCGCCGCCCCAGGGCAAAACAAGGATGCAAATGGGGGTTCGGGAGAAGATGATCTCGTCGATATTGGCGCACCTCCCGAATTCGACCCAGATGATGCTAAGGTCGAGGCGCCGATCTCTGCGACGGAGCGATTCAAAAAAGCGCTGCCTCCCTCTCGCATTTACTTACTCATGCCCCAAAGAACCCTTATTGCTCAGTATGTAACTGGGCGAAGGCCATACAGCGCCAACAGAGAAAGGCGCAAAAAAAGGGCAGAGGGTGCCATGACCATGCGCGAATCCCACGACGCTTGGACACCTGACCACAATGGATCACTGGCTTGCGATGGGTGACCTATCGCGGGGCTCCACGACGAGACCGCGCGCGTGACTTTTCGCGACCGGGCAACCGATTTCATGGCAGCTCAGGGGGTACACGACAAATCAGCGACTCATGTCTGCAATGCTTTGATTAACCTTCAAGCCCTGGGGGGAGAAATTAGAGTATTGTTATACCGACGGTGCTAGGGAGCTCGCCAGAGCTTGCATCGAATTTAAGATAGCGCATGACGCTACCATTCCAGGCAACAAGAAGCTCATGGCTGTTGCAGAACGATCCAATGGGATTGTTCAAATGGGGGCGCGATCACTGCTCATGCAAGCGGGCCTTCCCCCACCGTTTTGGACGCATGCTGTCCGATATTTTTGTCTTTGCTATAATGCAAGATTCCTGAAAACGGTGAGTCATCATGGAGGCGCAGATTCGGGCACGATTTTGCTGCCCCACTTCTTCCATTTGGTTCTCTCATTCGATTCATGCCTCCACCCGAGTCTAGGCTTCGGATCGCCAAAACAGGTGGGGCGATGATTTCGGGGATTTACTTCGGATATGTGCATAAGGCGGGGGGCATGGATGGACCGGAGAGCTACGTGGCACCGATCCGACAACTCGATGGTCTGAACATGGAGACTGGGCGGACGCCAGCTGGCAAACGTCCAATCATCGAGAAGTCAGATCAAGTTTACAATAATATCTTGGACGGTACAGTACCCGACCAAGAGCCTAAGTTCCCCATGCGCGAAGCATACGAGATTGCACAAACTACAGTCGATAATGTGATAATTCCTCCTAGCAGCGTTCCTGGCGGCGCAGCCGATCACGAACCCAAGCCGGGAACACAAGCAACTATGGATCCCAGTGCATCTACACCACCGCCCCGAACGCGAGGCGAGGCCGCGCCACGACCCCACGAAGAGGGCGAGTCTGATGGCGATGGTCCGGGGGGTATTGTTGTGGACAACGCGCCTGTGGCACCCGATGGTAAGGGGCCCTCGGCGAGATTCTCGCCCTGATGACGATTCAAAACAAAAGCTTGGTCTCGCCCATGCGGAATACAGGTTGGATCGCCAGTCTAATTTCTCGGTGGCGCAGCCGCGATCGAGAGCGCCTAGGGCAGGGCAGCTTTAGGCCCGAACCACGCAGAACTTAGACACTATGGAGTACTATGAAGAGAAACGAGTCGTTGCAAGCCTCAGCAAGGAGGAATTGATCGGAAAACTGCTGTTGAGTCTTGAGAGTCCTGGCCGCGGGTCGCGGCGGCCTTATTTCTTTCTTTCTTTCTTTGTTGAAGGCCTGCGCGCGAGCCACGACCGATGGGGCGACCGACGAAGCGACGAAGCGACGACGGTCCCACACCTCGTCGGTCGAATGGCTTCCCCCTCCTCCTCCTCGACCTCCTCCTTATAGTGTTCCTCCCGCTCCTCCTGCTCCTCGTCCTCCTCCTCCTCTCCCTCTCCTCCTCCTCCTCCTCCTCCTCCTCCTCCTCCTCCTCCTCTTCCTCCTCCTCCTCCTCCTCCTCCTCCTCCTCCTCCTCCTCCTAGTCCTCTTCTTCTTCTTCTGCACGCGGGCGAACAACATATCCGTATCCGCGGCATCGCAGGCCAGGTCTTTGGGCCGCGGTCGTGCGGATACGGGGCGTTTTTCCGCGGATGCTTTGCGCGGAACGTACCCGCGCGACTGCGTATCCGCAGGACAGCGCCCCAGAGTGCAGAACGCGAGGGCGCGGATACGGATATGTTCGCCGTTTGCTCCGCTCGCGAATCCCCCCGCCAACCCCCTCGACCAGAAGGAGGAGCGGCGCGCGGAGAAGAAGGCATGGGACGATCCTGATCTCTTCCACCGCGTGGTCGCCCTCCTCGTGCACATTCGAATTATATGTCGAACCTCTCTCCGTCGTCGGCGCCCTCCTCCCCTGGCGACCACGCCGCCGCCGCCGCTCCGCCGCCGCCGCCGCCGCCGCCGTCGTCGTCGTCGTCGTCGTCGTCGTCGTCGTCGTCGTCGGCGGCGGCGGCGGCGGCGGCGGCTGCGGCGGCGTCGTCGTCGGCGGCGGCGGCGGCGCCGCCGCCGCCGCCGCTGTCATCGTCGTCGTCGTCGTCGTCGGCGGCGGCGTCGTTGTCGTCGTTGTTGTCGTCGTTTCTCGGTCGTCGGGCCCGCCCAGGCGACCCTGTGGTGGTCAAGGAGGGGACCCCACTGCATCCGCTGGCGCCGCGGCACCGAGTGGGCGCAGCTCCTCGGGCGCCGGCGCCTGGTGCACAGGCGGGACCCGGCCCTTCTCATTGGTCAGGGGCAGCGTCAGGTGGGGGAGGAGCGGGGAGGACGAGGAGGAGGAGGGGGAGGAGGAGGAGGAGGAGGAGGAGGAGGAGGAGGAGGAGGAGGAGGAGGAGGAGAAGGAGGATGGGCAGGAGGAGGAGGAGGAGGAGGTGGAACAGGGTCGCACGCCACTGAGGGGGGAGAGAGAGTGAGAGAGAGAGAGTTTGGCAGTCAGCAGAAAACCCCAGGGGGCCCATTAGAGAGGACGTTTTTGCCAACCTTGGCAGGAAGGCCGAAGACCTGCCTGGGGCCAGCGACAGGGCCCCCTGGGAAAAACAAATTGCTTAACCATCATCATCAACATCATCATCATCATCATCAGTATCATCATCATCATCATCAGCATCATCAGCAGCAGCAGCATCACCATCAGCAGCAGCATCAGCAACAGCATCAGCAACAGCATCAGCATCAGCATCAGCATCATCATCATCATCATCATCATCATCATCATCATCATCATCATCATCATCAGTATCATCAACAGCATCATCAAACTCGTCTGATGGTTCGCCTTGCTTGACTCTGAGCCTGGCTCCGAGTTCTCTGGCCTCCTCCTCATCGAGGCCGAACGCCTGGAGGCAGTCGGCCGAGCAGAGGTTGAAGACACTAGGCGATACATTGGGCACGTCTAAGCTCCTTCTGATAGGCCCCTGAAGTACCCTCCGCACAACGGAACACTTCCCGAGCCCGCACACCTGGGGTCCTCCAGGGTCCCAGCTTCAAGGCTCGATTGGGATGCTCTCTGCGCTGGACGGCACGGGTGTTTTTCGGCCAGGGTCCAGGACTCTCGCTTGGGACCCCAGTCCCTTGGATCCCGCAGAAACAGTAGCATAACCCCCGCACGAGGAGCGAAAAAGGATCGGGGCTTGGTCATCTGCAACCACACGGAACTCAAACAGCCAGTGGTTTCCTCGAGACCATGGAGCCTGGCAGGCGTCCTGGGCCAGGCTGGCCAGGTCTGGTCCCAGGGGAAGAAGGAGCAGGTCCTGGGAGGGGTCAACTGGGGCAGGGCGGGGAGCAGCGGCAGCAGCAGCCCTCCCTTCAGCCGCCTCCCTCCTCCTGAGTTCCTCCAGGTATTCCTCCAGGGCTTCGCTTCCTTCTCAAGAAATAAGCGTGAGACCTTGAGCGCCCACATTCGCAGAACTGGCTACTTCTGATTAGTGCACTTCAGCACGTGTAATGAAAGAAACCGCCTGGCGCCTTAGAAACAGCATGTTTTTTGCAACCAGAACGTCCTGCTGCTCGTGACGGCTGAACCCAGCCCTTAGTTTAGCAAGACGGTGTGCTTCTTCATGCCCCACTCTCTCGAATGTGGAGATCTTGCCTTCGAGCACATCCACCATGGAAGTGTGGGCCTAGACCTTTCACAACGCCACCTGAGACGCATCGGTTTTCTCGTACAACTCTCGCCATATGTTCATGCGGATGTTGCTGGGGCTCTCCGCCAAGCCACGGTTGGTGCAACAGGCCACTGTGCCTTTACAATCCGAGTACAAAGTGAAAGTACACATCAAATAACGGGTGGCGATACAAATGACAGCGAAATCTGCACCATCGTGGGCGATTTTGTTGGACAGGGTGGTTGGCGGCACCGCTCCATGCTAGATCCCCCAGCCTGCGGAACGCAGCGAGGGGAACAATCCGTCGTGACCTGAGTCATCCCCAAAGAAAAACCTGAGCACTCAACCGCGAGACCAGCACCCACCCCTGCAGCCTTGAACCCCGCTCAGGGCCCCAGGGCCGACGCGCAAGGAGCTGGCAAGGGGTCGGGGAGGATGCCGCGAGCGAAGCGCTCTCGCAGGTCTATCGAACAGTTATTGAGGCGTGCTGCTGTCGTTTTGACCTCCGAAGGCAAGTTGTCACGCCTCCAAGCTTCTCTAGCGGGACACTCGAAGTGCCTTCGGAACAAGGTGCCACGATATTCGTGGCAGAGCAGGCTGTCGGCCGTAAACTGGGGGTCGTGCTGATGCAGCCTGCGCTGGCACCAGTGCGAGCCCATGACTAGACCCCGCAATGTCCTTTGCTCCCGAGCCCCCCAAGCCCTGCCCGACCCAGCCTCCGCCCGTTCCTCTTCATCGGGAACTGCGCAATGCAGCCTCTCGCTGGGGGGTCTTAAACAATATTAGATCCAGGTCCTGCCGTGCCCGATCTCCGCCAGGCCTCGGGGGTCAGAGAGACGCCCGGCAGCGAAGCGAGCACGCCTTGCCGCAAAAGTTGGCGAAACCGTTCTGGTGCCCCAAACTTAACCCGTGGCTTCCTGCAAGACCCAAGGGTCTGGACATTTGAATCCGACCCTACCTGAGGTGAGGGTCAGGGCCGGCACTGGGTCCTTGACTTGAACCCGCGGACGGACGTTGGTCGCCGCGTCCTGACCTTCGACAAAAAGAACCTCGAACCGTCGAAGAAAGACGGCCATCTCGTAAGATCTGGACATGCGTTCTGATGGCGTAACCTGTGACCAGGGCCAGCGGGTCTCCGGCCCGTCCACCTCTCGAACAAATCGTCGCAAGCTCAAGCGAACGCCCTCTCGGCAGGCGCGCTTCAGCTCGCAGAGAAGCAATTCTCAGTTGCTAAAGTTTGCCTTCGGGGGAGGGCCCTGGACGTTGGCCCCCCGGAAGGCCTCGGCCGAAACGGCCGCGCGAAAAACCGAGCAAGCTGCGGCCCCAGCTTCGCGAAGGGCCACAATTTTGCCGCCCTTTGCTTCGGCTGCGCAGAATCTGCCGCGGCGCGTGCTAACTCGGCGTCGGCTGCCGCCCGTAGCACCCCCCCCCCTATGTCCCCGCGGACGGACCCGGCAGCGGACTGACTCGGGAAGGCCACGGTTGAGGAGAATCCCGCCCGCCACCTCCCCCCAGGAAGAGAGGAGGCCTAATTTGTTTCTTGCGACGGACAGCATTTTCTCACGCAGATCAGCCGCCGCCATCTTGAAAGCTTGGCCGAGCGCTCTGCGCGCCACTTCCTTGCCGCCTACCGCGTGCAAGGGGGCGCCGTCGATGGCAGTTGTTCCAAACTGCGCACTGGGCTCGCCGCGGCCGCCCACTTGATGGGCAAGCAGCATCGAGCGAGAAAGCGCGGTGGCTCCTGAGCACCCAGTCACCGCAGTGGCGCATGGCACGATCGCGCGACCAGCGGCCCCCTGCCAGGCGACTGTGGCGGAGCCCCGCACATCGCACAGCGGGCCGCAGCAGGGCAGGGCTCGCTGCTTCTCGCAATCTGGCGCGAGCCGTGCTCGGAAAACTTGCGCAGGTCATTGAAAAAACGCGCTGTTGGCCCATCCTGGATGCCCTCGCGCGCGTGCCGCTAACGCATTGTGAGTCCAGGCGCTCTTGTCGCAGGCTGCGCCGGTGCTCGCGCCCCGACAGAAACGCCCGTCCACCCGACGCCCCCACTCGGAGCACATCCTGTGTTTAATTATGCTCCAGACCCCGGCCCAGAGGGGAAGGGGGCCAACGGGCCTGAGACCTCCCGTCGGCTTGCCCCAAAAAAAATATATGAGCACTAATCGCATAGGTTCCATCTGCGGGCGTCGTTCCCACGCCTCAAGAATGGCCGCAAAGGCTTCGACAAGTGGCGACGGCAAATGGATCAGAAGCCTTGGACTGCACGAGCCCCAACCCAGCGCCGTGGTCGGACTGAAAGAGGAAGCTGCCGCCAAAACTTTCTCAACTGTGATCGGCGCCAGCTCTTCCCCTGCTGGCCAGTCTAGGGGGTGCTGCTCTCCGTCCCTAGCTGCGCGCTGGTCCAAATTGGGATCCACCCCTTGCGCGCCCGGTCTAGGGCTTCCTGCCCCTCCAACGGCGCGGGAAAACCAGCTGAGAAATCATCGCCTCCTTCCTCAGAGCGAAGCTGCAGGCCTTTAGAGTAGTTGTGCGCGACGCGACCTCCCCCCGACACAGACGACTTCGCCCGCGGCTCACATGCATTTCGGCCCGTTGCCGCCCCCTGCTTCACCCGGCTGATACTTTCTGCTTTGACAGCATGTGCAAGCTGCGCCCAAGCGTCGCCATCGGTAAGTTGTTTCAAAAACGCGGGCGCTGTAGAGCCTCGCAGCTGCCCCTGCCCCGCCCCAGCAAATAGGGTAATTGACGGAGACGCAAGCTTGCAGCATGCAGATCTGATCTTGCCGCTCCTGGTTAGTAGGCTGCAAAAGCTGCAGCGCCAGGCGGCGCAGCGAGAGCCATTTCGGGGCCGCGAGGTTGGGCCTCTGGTAAAGCTCCGGCCCCGAGCAGCCCGGGGGGGCACTGGCTGGATATGACATCTTTTGGAGCGGCCCGAACACGTCGAATCCGTGGTGCCATGGACTTTGCAGGGCCCCCTCTCAGCAGAGTCAAACGACCTGGGGGCATCTTCCAGAGGGTCCTGGCCACCCAATTTGGGGCCCTCCCAGGGGCCAGAGAGAGGAGAGAGGAGAAACAAAGACGCCGCATCTCATCGTCATCCTTGGGGGGCGGAGAACTCTTGGGAACGATTTGCTTCGAAATCTTGGCCTGCCCAGCTAATGCTTCCAGGCGGAGGGCGACTGCCTGGCGCGGCCCGACTGGCGCGTCTTGCACGGCCGCGCAGCAGTTAGCGCGGCGGTCGAGGCACCTGCTGATGACAAACAAACTGTAGCAGTGATCCTGAAAAGTCGCACCCGCAGGCCGAATGATGCTGTCTCCTAGGTGACCCGTCCACTGTGGCTGCCTAAGCTCCCCCGCGTTTATGTTCCAGCCGCCTCCTATAACTAACGGAATGTCCGCGCCCGCCGCGGCCGAGTTGAATTGCTCCGGGAAGTCGAAGTTGGCTCCGCTTAGCCAGCTTGGTGCGCCCATACACCGACACAAAAAAAAAAACACTTGGACTTCGTGCGCCACTACCACTTTGCAGGCCGCAATTCGCTCGGACAAACGCTGGTGCTGGTACGCTGCGGTGCGAAAACTGCTGCGGGCCAAGATCGCCGCGCC